ATAGACTTATTTTCACTGATTTACAGTTTAGAAACTGAAGCTCAGAAAGGTTATATAACTTACCCAAGGTCACACAACTAGGAAGTGGTGGAATTGACATTTGAAACTCAGTTCAACCATCACCAAAATACGCACGTGCCTAACCCCAATACCTCCCGTTTGCTAGTATTTAGGGACATGTGCACACAGGACTCTGGCCATCATCAGCAGGCATTTCCTACAAAAACAATGCTTTTGTTGTTGTTGTTTTGGTTACTTAGCAACCACACAAACATTCTCAAATTTCAGAATAGCTTTTGGCAGCTTTGTGCTAAATACCGGAGCTTGATTGGCTGCCTGAATCCTGTTCACTCCATTCTTTCCTAATGAGCACTGTACAATATGAAAACCAGAAGTGATGGTGATACCATGTATTATTTATCCTTCGATATCAAAGGATTTATGGAAGCAACAAGGTGGTTAATGAACAGAAAAATACAGTCAGATTAAAAGGTCAAGACTCTGAGTTTGTTTCTAAACTAAACAAATATGCAATGTAAATGATAAGCAGATTTACTCTGAATGCTTGTTACCAAGGAGCCAATGAGATCATGTATGTGAGCCTAATCATAGTTTCAACACAGAAATGGGTTATTATCTGTGACCCTCATGATCCCTTTAAGCTACCTGCTTTGGATTCTACAGCTCTTAAGTCTTAATTAATAATCTGATACAAACTCTGCAATTTTCATTTTCCCATCTTTCCTGAAGTATCAATAGCCTTACTTTATTTCTGATAGTCTCCATTATTGTCCTCAACATCTGAAGATCAGCCTTCTGTTAAGATGCCAAACAATGAGGAAAATCACAATTAACCAATTCTTCAGGGAAGATCAGAGCAATGATGACACTGTATCATAACCATTTTTCTAAGTTGTCATTAGAAAGAGCAGCCAAAATGACTGGAGGGAGAATGACACAGTAAGAGCCAGGGATCTGGCAGGCTGGGACTGTGGGTTAAAACCCTAACTTCATCCCTGCCACCTAGGTTCTACTATGACCTGAGAGTGTGACAATCCATCTTGGCATAGTCAAAGGTGACAACTTGTCCTGAGCTGGCTACCCAGAACCAAGAACAGCCTGGACCACCAAACCTCCAAGCCTCCTATGGGCAGCCCTGACCTTTATTAGTTGTTCTGTAACTTGGTTGGCAAACCTCCACAACTCAGACCTCCAAAAGCTCCAAAGCTCCAAAGGGGAAGGCTTTCCTTTTCCTTCCTTCCTCCTTCTCTGCAGGCCTCTCCACTCTCCACAGGCCTCTCCACAGGCCTGCCCTGCTCTACTCCAGTGGAGGCCTCTCCACAGGCCTCTCTAGAAGCCTCAGGCCTCTCCACAGACCTGTTCTGATCTGCTTCGGTAGGCACCTCTTGCTGTCTTTCTCTCCGCCCCCCCTATACCTCCCTGCTTGTAATACACAGCCTATATACATAGGCTGTGCCCCCTCCCCCACTCCAATGGGTCTAACAGTCTCAACCACCACTCAGCCCCTCCCCTAAACTGCCCACTCTTCAACCACTTCTTGACAGCTCTTGAAAGCCCACCCCATGGGGTGATGACCTCAGCCTCTTGATGCCCAGCCCCCTCCAGTGGGCCAGGCCCTTGGGGCCCCACTGGTTATTGCAGTTCCCGAAGTTTCTGACCCCATTTGTAAAATGTGCATAATCATACAGACTATCTCCTATGATATCATGCACATGTTAATTTCTTAATTTGCATATGTAACACAGTGAACAATGTACACCAAACATACTACCATTTAAAGTAGACCCTGATTCAGAAACACACACACACACACACAAATCACAGAATAGAAGTAAGCACACTGTGCAGGGGGCATCCACGTCTCACCTATAGCCTGGCAGTCCTCTCCTCTTCTCCTATAACACAGTGAGGTGGGAACAGCAGGCACAGGGGAGCTAGTGAGTCTCCAGAGATGTAGAAAGTAAAACGACAGAGTTATACATTCATATTTGGCTATGGATACCAATTTGAAGAATTTTAAAAAGGTAAACCTTTTGAGAAATGTTCAGTCATTTGTATTTAAGGCAATAGAGGCTTACATATCAATATTTATCAAAAATGGCATACTGTACAATTTATCCTCCTTTCAAAATTCATAATTTGACCCCCAAAAGAAGGAAAAACTACATATAAGAAGCCCTCTCTCTCTCTCTCTCTCTCTATATATATATATATATATATATATATATTTTTTTTTTTTTTTTTTTTGTCAGTCATGGGGCTTGAACTCTGGGCCTGGGCACTGTCCCTCAGCTCTTCAGCTCAAGGCTAGTGCTCTACCACTTGAGCTACAGCACCATTTCCAGTTTTCTGGTGGTTTATTGGAGATAAGAGTTTCACAGACTTTCCTGCCCGTGATGGCTTTGAACTGCGATCCTCAGGGATCTCATCCTCCTAGGATTACAGGCGTGAGCCACCGGCACCCAGCCTTCTGCATTTTTTTTGAATAGCTTTAATGAGATATAATTCACCCTTTGGAAGTGTGCAATTCAGTGAGGTTCTTTTTAGTTTGTTCATAGAGTTTTGAAAGCCTCACCAACATCGAATTCTAAACCTTTTTTTTTTTTTTGGTCACTCCACAAAGAATTCCATTAGCAATTAACTACTCCTTCCTCCCTCCACCTGCTGGTCCTAGCAACCTCTAACCTATTTTCTGTCTCTTCTGTCATCACTTTTAATGATCATAAAAATTAAATAGAATATTTTAAATTATAGCTTGTTTTGCTTTGTTTGTTAGAAATTACTTTAAAAGTGGGAGCACATAGATAAGCACAGAACAAGTACTTAGCATATGCAAAACTGTAACACACAATAGGAAAAAGAAAGAAAAGTTACTATAATAAAGACTGTATCAACAGGAAAATATATACTATCTAACATTTAAAACTTTTTTTTTTTTTTGGTTGGTCGTGGGGCCTGAACTCTGGGCCTGGGCGCTGTCCCTCAGCTCTTCAGCTCAAGGCTAGTGCTCTACCACTTGAACCACAGCGCCACTTCCGGCTTTTTCTGCTTATGTGGTGCCAAGGAATCAAACCCAGGGTCTCATGCATGTAAGGCAAGCACTCTTCCACTGAGCCACCTTCCTAGCCCCCATTTAAAACTTTTTAAAGATACAAAATGATGAAGATCCTTGACTAAAGTCTGGTTTGTATGTACATAGGCCCGAAAGAAGCTATAAAACTTTTAAATGACCATGTTAACTATAAATAATTTTCTGTAACTTTTAAATATATTGTAACATTTAATTTTTAAAGAAATGCTATTTTTTAATCCATTTAAAATTCTTGGAACAAAGAATACATTAACTGTGCAGCCATAAAATCCTGCCTCTGATTTGGATCTAGTTCTTATTACCATCAACAAATCTACTGTACTCTCCTCTGTCAACCAAGACCTTAAAGCTACAAAGGTCCCAGCTCTCCAATCCTGCATAACTAATCCTCATACTGTAGAAACTCAGGTCCATACCCTTTGGTCTCTTGTCTCTCACCTCCACTCCTCTCTCACTCCTTAACAAAACTCACTAACTTATGATACAAACCAGTGAACCTTTGCCAATTTCCTTCTGCTCATATATTAAAGGTCAAAACTCCTGATTCCAGCTATACTTTCCTAATAGTAAATGAACAAATATGAGCTGGATGCTGTGGTACAGGTCTATAATCACAACACACTCAGGAAGATGTAGCAGGAGGACCATGAATCTGAAACCATTATGGGCTACATAAGTTTGAAGTCATTCTTAGCTATCTAGCTTGCTCTATATCCAAATGATGATGATGATGAAGAAGATGAAGATTTTATTTGATGTGAAGAAAATAACCAGCCCTCTTCCCATCCCCCACCCCCATTTCTACTTTGTATAACATACACTTCATGTAGACACTATGGCCTTATGTGTCTCTTCCTTATCTCCAAAGCAATCTGGGACTGAAGAACATAATGAAATTTCACCACCACCCCACACATGCTGCTACAACAACCCTGCCTAGCCCCCTCACAACTGTCCCTAAGGTTCCCAGGTTATATTTGTGCCTCTTTGTCTACAGTTCCCATTGGTGTGTCACTGTTGATACTCTGAAGGAACAGAGCCAAGTTTGGCTCAAGAACACCACCCCTCTCCATCTCCCCACAACTCCCTTAACAGAGTGTTGCCTGGCCCACAACTACAGTGGCTCCTGGATCGGCAGGCATGGTGACCCATCTGACTTCTAGTGAGAGAATCTGTTCTACTGGGCAGTGCCCACCCGTGTCAAGAGCCATGTTCATTTCAGAGATGACTGGCATTTGTCACTTCCCTAGAGAAACTCTAAGTGGAAGAAAAGTAAGTAGACAGTAAAGTAGAAAGCACTGGAAAAGGCAGGAACAGAGGAAGGAAGGATTGCTGTGGTTGCACAATAGACACCAACTCTGAAGCAGTTATGGCTTGGTGGGGAGGTAGATTTTGAAGAATCTAGTTAACCCAACCAAGAAGCACACACACTCACAAAAAACAACAAGGAATCCGTGGAGCAGCAGCAGACACAGGGCACATTATGGCCACAGCATAGTTCATCGTGTGCAAAACACAGCAGCAGAGTGTGATCGACAGAGATTCAGTAAGCTTCACCTCTGCTCCCAGTCACCTGGTTGATACAGGCAGGAAATAAAGTATTCAGGCAGATGGCTGTGATTACAAGGTACACTGAGACGGGAGCGTGAAAGGTTACTTCTCACTTGGGTCCTAAGTACAAAGATCATGGAAGTTGAGGGAAGCCTCCTTATGAGGTTGGGTGGAGTAGAAATCAAGGTGCAGTAGCAGATCCAGCCTTGAAGAGAAAGGGGGAGGGAGGAAGAAGACTGGACAGGAAGAAGGGATTGGGGCAGAAGAGAGGGTGGGACCAGTGGGCTCCGCCTCCTCCTCCTGCTCTCCTGCTGGCTGACCTGGTTTCTGCTGGACACCGGGGTGGAGAAAGGTGAGCATTAACTGCTGGGGCCATGGTCAGAGGCTGGAGACATCCCAGCAGTGGGGCCGCTTAGTACTCAGGGCTCAGGGAACTACTGAAAGGCTGGTTGGGGATTGGGGCTGCCTAAGAGTTGCTCTGTTTGGGAGAAAAGACAAGGCCTCTCCTGCCTGCATTCTCCTTCCCAGACCTTGGGCTGATTCCTGGCAGTAAACTTGAAATCTGAGGCTAGTGAATTGGGCAGATGGGTGCTGGGGTGTGTCTGTAAGATGGGGGGTGGGGGGTGTAGAAGAGATGGGAAAGTCGTGAGGGCCAGAACACCAGGCCTGAATTTTTCTTACTGAATTTTTCCATGGCTTTGTTGCATCGAAGTACACTTTCTCCTTCCAACCAAAGCACTGTCTGACTGGATGGTGGGGGAGATCAGAAGACTGGGGCAAGGGTAAGTGATACACCCTCTCTGCTTCTCTCTCCAAAAAGATCAGTCAGAGGGCCTCTAGACTGGGGAGGCCGAGGGTAGAAGTCCTTCTAGAGAAGTAATAGAGAAAAGGGCAGGGCCTGCCCTATTACCTGGATTCCAAAGATGCTATATGTATATCCTGAGGCCGCAGGTAGGGTGGTTGTCACTGGATCCTGCATAGTATAGAAAGAAGCTGGAAGGGAGGCCATAAGGAGCCATAAGGAGGCAGGCAGACAGACCATCATATGGTAAACCACGCAAGGGCTGGGAATCAGAACCTCTGGCCTGGTTCTCATGCTTTTCCAAATAACCTATACAGAATTATGGAACTGAAGGAGACGCTTGTTGGATTTGAAATTAAAGATCGTGCAGCCGAAACAGAGGAGTCTGCTATGCTGGTCTTGGTGTCTGACCCAACCATGAGGCCAAGGGCTGGTTTACACACAACTGTGTGTCTTTTTGCAGGTGCCCTGGGAAGGGGCCATGGTGCCAAGCCAGTTGTGGGGGAGACTGAAGAAACCATTTCTCTTCCTGAGCAGTGCCTCCCTCCTCCTGGGGCTGGTTTTGCTGGGTTCATGGCCAAAAGTCGCCCCTGCTGCATATTTCTTTCTCAGCCTGGCTGGCTGCTGCTTCTTTGCCTGTCTTCTCGCCTGTTGCCTGGAATGGGGGTTCCGGTCAATGCAAAGATCAGTACAGTCTATGCAGACAGAGAGCCCGGGGTCTTCAGGCAACGCACGGTGAGTTTAAGGGGCCAAAAGGATGTCAGGAACGTACTTTGAGCCCTGGCTCCCTCTATCTTTTTAGTTTGAGGCACAGACAACTTTCCTCTGTCACTGGTATCAGTGACAACAGGGGTCAGGGATCAGCAGAGTGGTCTTCTGTGACTAGCAAACAGGAAAAGAAAAAGGGGCTTCTTTCAGCCAGCCACTAGCAACCTTATTTCTCCTCCCTCAGGGACAACGCAGCTTTTGAGGTACCAACCTATGAAGAGGCAGTGGTGGTGTTGGAATCACAGGACCAGCCCCAACCGTTGGATCAACCACCTCCTTACAGCAGTGTTGTAATCATCCCAGGAGTTGATGGAGGACAGCCTAACCAACCAGACAGGTCTACGACAGGCCGACTGGAAAGGCGAGTGGGTTCAGAGGGAACTATGACGCCTGCCAGAAGCCCTGGGAATGCTCTTATCAGCCTCCGACTGCGAGGACCACGAGTTGTGTCCACCGCTCCTGACCTGCAAAGCTTGAGGGTGACCCCCACCTCGGAACCTCATACTCCACCCCCTGCCTATGATGTCTGCTTTGCTCACCCGGATGATGATGATAATGTTTTCTATGAAGACAACTGGACAATCCCCTAGGTGAATCTACGGACATAACTATTTTTCCCAGCCCAGACTCAATCTCATTTGCTCAGCATTTCCTAGTGCCTACTATGTCAGGAATAGTTTCTGTCTGGACATCACAAATGGGGTTTTGAAGCCTGAGCAAAGGCAAGCTACGGTTTATCCCTCGCCAGTGGAGATGTTGTTGGCACAATTTAAATCTTCTGGCAGCATCTGATGACCTACCACTCAATGTCCAGTATTTCTACTGTCAGAGGGAGGCTGAATGGTGAGACGATGCAGAGAAGCTAGAGGGCTGGAGCAGCCTAGGAGTGACAGACAGCGTGTTACATCTGTTCCAGAAGCTGGGTCTCTTTTAGCCTGACTGTCAAAGGGGTGGAAAACCTGCACAAGGACACGCTGCTGGTAAATCCCACAAACTAACCCCCATGAACTGCACAGCCTACTGTCCTTTCAATACAAGGTGAAAACGCAAACCATGCCACCCACGCTGCTCTCAACCCCAGTCTCGGGCCAACGGCTGGGAAGGGATGGACTTCGAGGACCAGTTGTGCCTATGGGCAAGGGAGGACCGAATGCGACCAAGAGAGCCCCGAGAAAGTCTGGAAAAGCACCGATCGGTGCTCGAAACCCCGACACACACCAGCCTCCTCGGCTCCTGAGAACTTATCACAATAGGCGTGGCGGGAAGAGCGGGAGATGCCCGAAGGGGCGGAGGTGCAATTTCCGCGGGAATCGCCAGCCAATCGGATTCCCAAGCCTTCTCTTTTCCCGTCCCTTCCGTTCTGTCCACCGCTTTTTCGGACCGCATTGGACAACGCTGGTTCCCAGAGAGCGTTCTGCGCTTGCGCACGGCAGGGGCGGGAAGGCCTGCCTGGCGTCCGGATGGTTGGACGCATGCGCGGCGGACGTCGGGAGGCGGGGTGGGGACGCGGAGGAGGCCGCGGCCTCGGGTTTGTTTAGTTTGGGGGCGGTTCGCTCACAAGCTGGGAAAAGCGGGGAATGGCGGCGCCGCGCGCGGGTTCCCGACCTGTCCTGCAGCAGAAGGGGCTTATGGCGGCTGACAGGAGGGGCAGGTGAGAGGGGAAATAGACCCAGGGGGCTTTAGTGGGGCCCGCGCGAGCAGGCCGCGGTCGCCGACGCGCAGCCCAGCCGGCCCCGGCCCTCGGAGCCGCCGCCAGCAGCCGCTTCCTGCCGAGGGCGGGGGCCGGGAGCGGACGCGCGGGGGGCGCCCAGGCTCGCCCCGCGCGGCGGCGGGCCGGCCTCCTGGTCTCCGCCCCTGGGCAGAGCCCGCCGCGGCCTCCCTTTGTTTAGCTTCTGCTCGAGGGTCGCACTAGCTGAGTCCCGGCCCCCCTCCCCCTCCCCCCTCCCCTTCTCTCTTTTCTTTTTTAAACATCCCCCATCTGTTTCTCGAGTCTTGAACCTGAGGAGCTATAGTTTCTCTCCTCGAAAACCGACTAGATCTTCTGCAGACCTGGTCTGGGTGTTCATTTGATTTGATGACTGTCCCCGTCAATGACACTCTCTTCTCTCTCTCTCTCTGTGCATATATATATATATATATATATATATATATATATATATATATATGTGAATGAAAGCATTGCACGCTCTGGAAATTTGAGCCCTGGAGAGAGAGGGGGACTAGGAGGATTCTGGGTCTCGGGTTGTATCACTTGGCCCCTGCCATCTCCTGAATGACAGCATCCGAGAGGACACATTAATGGGTCCTGGAACGGGGACCTTCAGAAGGACACAGGATCAGAAACTTTGAGAATTCCCTTCCCCATGCTATGGGGTCCCAAATGCAAGGTGACTGGAAAGTTGACAAGAGTCTCCTCGGGTAGAACTAGGAAAATTGATGGGAACCGGAGAGAATGATAACAGGGACAACATTGACTGAGATGCCTTGAACTCACACACTGGCAGGTTGAATTGAAACCCCTTTGTACACCTACTTAAAGATGATTAAAAAAAAAAAAACCCACCATATGTATGAAATAGAGGAAGGAGTAAGAGGGCAGTGTAAATGGTGCATCACATAGAAACTAGTGAATTGTTGGGGGAAAATTCAGGCCCAGAACTTCAAAGAGTTTGGAATTGAAAGTCACTGAGTGAGTGAGTCTGGATGAGATTGCTGAGGGCAGAAGCTGTTTGCAGGGGGAGCCCTGGTACAGAATCAGGATTACACAGACCCAAGTTCCTCTGAAAAAAGATATGGCGTGTATGAAATAGAGAGTACCTAAGGAGAGTGGTGCACAAAAACTAAGGGAAAACAGTTTTAAGGAGTTGATGTTACCGGTAAACTGAAAGGATTCACCATTTCTTATGTGCCCTAAGGAAATACCCAGCAACCAGTACTATAATAGGTGTACTAAAATTTCTATGGGTTACTGTTACTGTTTTAGTGTCTTGTTGTTTTGCTGAAACTGGGGCTTGAACTCAGGACCTCAGGCTCTCCTTTGGCTTTTTCATTCAAATCTAGCATTCTACCACTTGAGCCACAGCTCCAGTTCCTTAAGGTGTTCTTAAAGGGGGGTCTGATTTGTGTAGATTTTGTTGCAGCAGATTTAGTGAAGGCTTGAGAATGACAGTATTTTGAACACCTCTGCTTTAGGATCCCACTTTTCTGCCTTCCTGGATCTCTTTATGTTTCTACCAGGTCCAGCTTTTCTGAGTAAATGTATAAGCCAGGTGCATCAGTATTTCATTGATTTGAAAATACATGTTTTTCTTCCACATTTTATTACCTTTGAACTCAAGATGCATTTAAAGACAGGTTTAAAGTTATAAACGGAACCTACCATATCTTTGTCACATGGACACCAGGCCTTGAATGTGGTCTTGTATTTGAAAACTAAGGAAACCGAAGAGCTCTAAATCTATGTGTATATTAATTGAATAGATGATGTGTATTGAATATGGGTTTTCTTAGTTCATAAACAGAAGTTGGTCTTTGCAACCATATAGGTAAACCAAGGAATTTTGAAATAAAGCTGTTTGTACTTAGGTAACTAAATTACCAAAATAATTTAACCATTACTTGCACTAAGTCTGTGATTTCAAGTTTCACTGATTGTATTCATCATTGATATGTTCCTACTGTGTTTTTTTTAAATCATGCTTTCTACTTATCTATATCTTTCTAGTGTTTTTTCTCTGAGGGATTTAAGCATTAAGAGTATATGTCTGTTAAAACAGGCCATTTGGCTTTACTTTTTGCTATTGTATTAAATCATTTTATTCCTCACCTAAGATTATGTTAAGCTTAAATTAATTTTAGATTATTTAAATAATAAGAAATGTTTTCTAAAATTAGTTTTAATTGAAATTGGTATCTCAAAGGAATATTCTTTTTTCTTTAATATATATCTGGTTGTGTATATCATTCTAAGCAAAATAGACATTTCCCTCTTTAAATCACACTACCCCATCTGGTCGTAGTTAAACATACTTGATAAGAATTACACATTATTTCCCTATGTCAGTGTGTTACTTCTTACTACATCTATCTTAATTTTAACTGGACTCAATAAATATACCTGGTCTTCGGAATAACTCCTATTCTTTGTGTTGTTCTTTCTCATATCTCTTTGGCTTTCTATATCAAGCCTTGTACCGCATGGCCTTTCTATTTATGTCCTGTGTGTAGGATAATGGGAGTGTGTGGTATGCATCCTGATCATCAGGAAACTCTGAAAAAGAACCGAGTGGTGCTGGCCAAACAACTGTTGCTGAGTGAACTGTTGGAACATCTCCTGGAGAAGGACATCATCACTTTGGAAATGCGAGAGCTCATCCAGGTATCGAGGTGAAAGAAAAGAGCAAAGAAGAGAAATGAGCCTTAGGGGTGGAAGAGCACATGATGGAATATGGAACAGATACAGTGTTTTACTATGAAAATGGAAATGCCCTTCTAACACTAGGGAGTTCGATAGAAAATGTATGTAGTTCCAGATGAACTGGGAGGACAGCACCTGTAAATCCTTTCCCCGAACAAAGTCTTAAGATGGGTGTAGTTCCCTAGTTAGAAAGGACGTATGGAAGTATAGGATTATAACTAGATAAGTAAATATGATCTTCTGTTTTATTCCTGTGTCTTAGGCCAAAGTGGGCAGTTTCAGCCAAAACGTGGAACTCCTTAACTTACTTCCCAAGAGGGGGCCCCAGGCTTTTGATGCCTTCTGTAAGGCGCTGAGGGAGACCAAGCAGGGTCACCTGGAAGATCTGTTGCTCACAACCCTCTCTGATCTTCAGCATGTACTCCCACCGGTACGGAGCCATAGATATGTGCTATCTTGGGAAGACTGTGGCTAGAAAGGGTTTTATTTTGGAGGGGATAGGGTTGGGGAGACTAGGTTTTGTTTTATTTGTACTAGACCATCTCCCTAAGGTCTTCATGCTGCGTTCCAATTTCTTACAGTTGAGCTGTGACTATGATGTGAGTCTCCCTTTCCCAGTGTGTGAGTCCCATCCCCCTCACAAGCAGCTCCGCCTGTCTACAGGTGAGAATTGATGGGGTAAAGGAGGTCTCACAGATTGACTTACCTGTTTTTGACTGTTACCTAGCTTTTCCCATAGGATGAGATATTTCATGTTGGGAACAGATCCCTCAGTGAATTCGTTAGGAGCTAGGGGACATTATTTGGGCCCATTTTCCTTCTGTCACAGATAATATTCTTCAAGGTCCTTTGAGCAATATATGGAGGTAGGAAATTCCTACACATGATTGAACAGTCTTTTCTTTAAAGTTCAATGAAAAAAGACTATTTGAGGCCACCAGCCTGTCTGTATTACCTGGATTTTCTGAAATAGCACTTTCAGTCATTCAGGAAGTTGGTCACCTACTATATACAGAGAAGCCAAGTGAAGAGATCCTAATTGTGAGCTAAAGCTAACAAGAGTCTGTACCCTCATGGAGCTTACAGATGGGGGGAGGGCTTACAAAACATCAGTTCAGAGAGTTGTCTATTCAATTGGGATGTACTAGGATTAATGTCTAAAGGTATACTAGTTATTTGTTTCTCTATCTATACTGTAGATACTGTGGAACACTCCCTTGATAATGGAGATGGTCCGCCCTGCCTTCAGGTGAAGCCTTGTACTCCAGAATTTTATCAGAAACACCACCAGCTGGTAAGTCTTGTATAACAACAGAAGGAAGAGAGTTGGGCAATGAGAT